GAAAAATTCCGTGGTGCCCGGTAAAGGGCCGTTTTTTTTTTTTTTTTTTTTGGCCAGCATCATTTCCCTCAGGCTCTCGCTACCTGCCCTGCTCTGCACCTAGAGATTGCCCTGCACCACCTGCCCCTGTCCACTCTGCCCTCTGCCCCTCACGGCACCTGCACAGTCCCTGTGCTCCTTCTCCCTTCTCAAACGGACTGGCTCCTTCTCACTGGGGTGTCTCAGGTCAGGTGTCACATTCTTCTTTCATCACAGCCATTTCTCTTCGTTTTTGTCAATTGTTGGCCTCCAGCCAAGTTCCTGTGGATGCAGACACCCCTCTCCAAGGGTGCCGCCATCATAGGTGGCATGGTGGACTCCCATTCTGCGCTGTCTCCATTACTTCCACGTTTGGGTTCGGCTGTGTAACTGTTCAGTTCTTGCGGCACTTTCATTTCATTGGCCAGGTTTTTCCTGAGGTCGTCTATTTCTATAAAATGCCTTGTAGACTTAATCATCAGCAGATAGAGAGGCAGCACAACCCCGCAATCTGCTGTCTGTGCGTGATCTGAGTAACATGCTCAGCGACCAATCAACAGCAGCTAGGCTTTGCAAGAAGTGGCATGATTGGCCATTGATCATGAGGTGCATCTGTTATCTACACAGTGATTGGTAGACTGAAGAACTAGTAGGAAAGTTTGTTTTATACCATTACTGAGTTAATATACAGTGATAACTAACTTTAGACTGTTCTGCATAGAGGCGGGTATTATTTACCTAAACCGTGGGCTCTAAAGTTTCTGTGTACCAGAACCATGTGACGTGAGGGCTGTTCCTGTCATTGTCACTGTCGGTAGCACCCTCATGATTGTGTCATCAAGGCAGTTAGTTCTTCCCTGTCCTGCGGAGCCTCATCCACCGTCTTGGCCAGTTCAGAATCTCCTCCTACTCACCTGTCCTCACTTCCTCCAGGTAACCACTGTCCTATTAAACCCCGAGGGACCCTTCACCTCACACAAGGAGTTTTGCTCTACGCCAGGAGTTGGCAGGCATTTTTGCAGAGGGCTAGAGAGTAAAAATGCTAGATTTGCAGACACCTGGTCTCTGTTGGAAAAAATCAGTTTTGCCATTGTGTAAATACAGCCGTAATGATATGGACATAAACCGGGGGGTGGGGGGGGCTATATTCCAATAGCACTTTGTCCAAGGGAGCCAGCTGGTGGCATATCAGTAACACAATGCTCTCCAATGCTGGACCCACATGAGAAGGTCCCAGGTTCAAGACCCAAGGCTTCCCTGTGTATTCCAAGCACACACGTGTACTCTGGTGACCTGGGCTGGCTGAGGCTGGGGGATCACGGCAGGTTGTGAGGCAGGAGGAGGCTGACTGTCTTCTCTCATAGGAAAAAGGCACTTTAGGGCCAGCCCCCTAGTGTAGCAGTTAAGCCCTGTGCAGAGAAAGCCAGATCCCACATGACCAACCGTCACTTGAATCCTGGCTCTAACAGCCTGAAAAACACATTGGGTATGTGTGCATGCATGCCCCAAATCCTTACAGGATAGAGAAGTAGAAGAAAGAGGATTACAACATGACCACACCCCATTGAGGGGTTCTCTCACTTTTCTGTCTTTCTCTGACAAGCACATGCCTGCTCTAGCAATTAAAAACAACTTTATTTCCGAAAACAAATGGCAGGCTGGATTTGGTTTGCCAAACCCTTCTGTAGCTAAGGGTCTCTCTCTCTCTCTCTCGCTAAGTGTCTCTCTCTCTCTCTCTCTCTCTCTCTCTCTCTCTCTCTCTCTCTCTCAGAATTATTTTATTTAACTGTATTTATTTTTAATTTGACCAGAGCAGGTCAGAGAGAGGAAGAGAGAATGAGAAAGCAAGTCACTAGGTCCAGGACTCAAACCACGGTCAGCCATGTGGGAGTCCAGAGCCCTTAACCACCACGCCACCTGCTGGCCCCTCATGTCTTTTCCTTGGATCTTTTGATTGCAGGTAAAAGGGCTCAAACTGGATTAAGCATATGCGACAGAACAAGAAAGGGAATGGTAGGGCCTACGGCCTACGCAAGGCAGTGTGTCTCGGCTTCGGTGCTGCTGCCATCTGGGCCAGTTCATTCTTTATTGTGGGCAGTGGGGGATGTCTACAGCACCCCTGACCTCCGCTCTTTAGATGCCAGTAGCACCTCCCCACCCAGATGTGACAACCAAAAATGTCTCCATTGTCCAGCATTCTCCCCAGTTGAAAACCACCAATGTAACAAATGCTCATGTTGGAGGCAGCTTCGGGGGAGAGTGGACCCTCAGGGGCTCTCTGTCCCACCACCCATCCCTCTCCATCTCTACCCCTCACCCCTTTCCTCCATCCTGCTTCCCACTCAGACTTGGTGGCAGGATGGCTGCTACATGTCCCGCCAGCTTCACGCCCCAGGGAAGTGCTCTTCCCCAGAAACCCCTACAACTCTCAGGGTTGACTCTCTCTAACTGGCCCCACACGCCTGTCTCTGGCAGATCACAGCAACCTGGTAAATGCAGGACTCTGATTGGTCAGTGAAGGTTACGCAGCCCTGGAGTTCAGGCCAACCGGTGCAGACAGTGGTCCTCCCTGATCCAGGACGCCCAGTGGATGCCTGAAACTCGGGGGAGTATGAACCCTGTGTACTCTACGTTTTTCCACCCAGTAGCCTAGATGAGGGACAGGGAGTGCATATAAAATCAGTATGCCAGTCCTCCTGGTGAAGGGGTGATTCGTGTCCCAGGCTGTTTTCCATTTGATATTTTCAGACCGTAGTTGACCTGGGGTAACTGGAACCATGGAAAGTAAAGCCATGGGTAAGGGGCGCCGCCATACTAAGTCAAAATGAGGGGGTGGTGCCCACAGACCAGAGTAGGGCCATGCAGCCAGAGCAGGTCTCCACCGACAGGAGGCGTTTGCACCTGCTGCCCGAGAGGCAACGGCGAGTGCTCAGTCTTTTCTGTGGGCCAGCTTCTTCCTGGGGGCAGCCATCCCGGGCATCATCATGGCTTTCTTGGCCTGGTGTAAATTCCTCTTAATCCGCTGCCAGGTGGGTCTGCCCCACATGTCCCCAGGCTGGCCCTCCTCTCAGCGATTCCAAGCTTGCAGGATGCCAGGGCTGTACTTTTAATCTTGGTTTTAATTCCAGCTCATTCTCCTGGCTGTATCTCCCAGCCCCAGAGCCCTGGGGGCCCATGCTAATTTGCTTCTCCCACCTCAACTGGTGCCGGAATAACCATTTTAAAAACTGCCTTGGGGAAATCTAATCAAATGAGAGCGAAATCTAATTTGGCACTCAAAGCCTCTGACTGCAGCCCTGTTTTCTAGGGCCTGTGGAGCCAGAATAATCAACTCTTTCTGGATTTTTTAAGGGTTGGGGGTTGGAGAGAGGAAAGCAAAGTGAAAGAGGAGATTCCCGCAGAGGAAGTAGCTCCGGACACCCTGCCGTCCACTGCAGTGCCCAATAGTGGCAGGCTGGGCTTCCTAAGGCAGGGACAGAGCCTCCCACATGCTCCCTCCCCCCAGAAATCCTTACCCCACCAGCGGCCTTGGATTTCAGCCCTTTAGCATTCCAGGCTGCATGCTCATCAGGAAGACCGTGGCCCAGATCTTCAGGGACAACCCAGCAGGCTCCCTAGCAGGGACTTGGAAGGACAAGGAGAAAATGCCCTTCCCTGTGAGGAATTGCTGTGCTTTCATTCACTCCCTGGAAAATTGCATTTCACGAGTGGGTCCCGTACATGACTTTTGCTGAGTATATACATGCATTTCTAGGGCCAGAAGGTACATGGAGATTAAGGCAGCTGGATCCCACATGGCCAACTGCATGGTTCAAGTCCTGGTCCTGACAGCTTGAAAATCATACTAGGTGCATGTATACGGATGCCCAAAATCCCAAGAGGAAAATGGAGGACAAGGGATTGAGCCATAGCCATCCGCCTGGAGGGATTGATTTCTCACTTTCCCTCTCTCTGTCTCTCTTCAGCGAGCACACATGCTCTATAGCAATTTTTTTTAAATAAATGCATTTCTTTTGAGTAAATTTGAAATTTACCTGAAATTTTCATTCAAAATTTGAATTTAAAATTCAAATCACTGTGTCAGGAGACATGAATATATTCGACTTCAGGAGACACTAGCAAAGAGTCTGCCACAGCGCTCAGCCGCATCAACACACCCAGGGCAATGTGCGAGAGTTCCAGTTGCTCCAATGCCCTGCAGCACTGGATGTTGTCATTTGTTTTTATCGTTAGCCACTCTGATCACATCATAGTTTTTCCTATGAACTTAAATGGGGAAAAAATTACACACTTCTTTATTAACCTGCTACTGAAAGTTAGCATGTGCTTCTGTGGTGAATACAGACCCAAACCACATTATGTCAGCAAAACCTGTAACTTTGCCACGCATAGAAGCCACCGATATCTTGATAGCAATTGTTGCAGATACTGCAAAATCAAATGTTATTCCCCCCTCACTTTGATCTCTCCCAGGTCTTGCTTTTAATATATTAATTTTTAAAGGACACATGACTGTATCACAAATCCTTTTACTATTTTGATGACCATATCTCGAAATAATTGATTTTCTCTATAATCCTATGTATTTTATTTTAGGCACGTTAAATCATTTGCAAAAGAACATAGGCTCCAAACACTTGCTGAAATGTTCCACGGCACAGGGGTGTCATTTGAAGGCCGCGGTGGTTTAATAAACATCCTTGGATGATTCCTCACTCGGTCTCCTATCCTTCTCTCCCTCCAGCTTTCTTTGGGAAGTACCTTAATGAGTACAATGGTTCCTATGTGCCTCCAGGCTGGAAGGAGTGGGTCGGACTCCTTAAAAACTCCCGCTTTTATAACTACACTCTTTGTCGGAACGGGGTGAAGGAGAAACACGGCTTCGACTACTCCAAGGTAAGCTGCGCCCTTGCCTGGCCTGGGAGAGACGGGGTCCAGGAGGTTAGGACCCGGCACTGGAGCTGGACTCCCTGGCTCAGATGTGGTATGACACTTCAGTGTGACTTGCAGCAGTTAACTTTCATCCTCTGCTTCTCATTTTTTTTAATCTCCCAAACGATAATCTCTAAGAGTTTGGTTTTTTAACATTTTGCTGAAGCAGATTGTCCTTTCAGGAAGTACACAGAGTGCACAGTTCAAGAGAGTTTCCCAAACTGCATAGACGCCTGTCACCAGCAGCCGAGTAGGCCAGGATGCAGAGGGCACCTCCGCCTGCTGGAGTCCCCTCCTGGAACTTCTTCCACCAGCTCCCTCCCCACAGCATAATCATCTTAGCATTGTATGAGGGACCTTCAAGAAGTTCGTGGCAAGTACACTGTGGAAGAACTATGCGTGGATTTTTGAATGTTTTGCATCAGAATTAACGCGTACAGTAATGTTCATCTTTCCACAAACTTTGTGAGTGCCGGCGTAGATAACTCTGCATCTGGCTGCTGTAGCTTAACATGGCTGCGTTCATTCTGCTGTAACCTCCCATCAGGGCTCGTGCCACAGTGTATGTATCCTGCTGTCATTTGGCACTTAGGTATCCCCAGTGCAGGGCTATTAAAAACAGTGCTGCCAAGAGCGTCTATCTTTTGATTCTTTTGATGTATCTCTTGGTGAGCGTAGTACTTGTCAGTCATATACATTGTCAATCATATACATTCCTCACAACAGAACAGCTGGACAGAGAGCATGTGAGGTTCAGTTAGTGGGTGCTGCCCAAGAGGCTGCCCTCAGTCATGGTGTTCCTGTTTCTACTTGAAATGCACCTGCGGACCAGCAGCTAACATAATGGCTATGTCTGGACTCCCATGTAGCTGACCGTGGTTTGAATCCTGGACCCAGCTTAAACTCATGCCAGGCACGTGTGTGTGCGTGCCCAAGATCCCGAGAGGAGAATGGAGGAGAAGGGATTGCGGTGTGGCCATCCCCCTTGCGGGGTGATTTCTCACTTTCTGTCCCTGTCTGTCTTTCTGGTGAGCACACGCACCCTATAGCAAAAACCTCTCCCTGCCCCGCCCCCGAAAAAAAATGCACCTGATGTAAAGTGCACAATCTTAAGAGGACAGCGAGACTGTGGACGAACTATGCAATGCCTATTGCGGAGCTTCATGTGCATGGAATCATGCAGTATATGTGCTCTTCTGTGTCTGGCTATTTTTACTCAGAGCAGTGTTGGTGAGATTCAGCCCTATTATTGCATATTTCAGGAGTTTGTGCCTTTTCACTCTTTGTAGTATTCTGTTGCATATGGAAGCAATAAGATGTTTATCTATTCAAGAACTGATAGAAATTTTTGGTTGTTTTCAGTTTGGGTCTATTTTGAATTAAGCTGTTGTGAACATCCTTACCTGTGGCTTTTAGCAGTCATATGTACCTGTTACTTTTGGTTATACAGCCAAAGTGGAACACAGGCTGTGCTCAGTGGTGGAGCCAGTTACACTCCCTGCCAGGAATGTATGAGGGTTCCAGTTGCTCTGCTTTCCTCATCAACACTTGGTATTGTCTTTTTTATCAGAGCCATTCTGCTGGGGCTATATGGGTATTTCATTGTGGTTTTACCACAAGGGCTGTTGAGGACCACATGAGTTAATATGTATCTAAGATTAGAAGACACCCTCCACCCATGTACATAATAAATATTCAACATGTATTTGCTTACACCAGGACAGCAGATGTTTTACATCAAAAGCCAGAAACTAAATATTTTAGGCTTCAAAAGTCTTAAGAGTCTTGGGACCAGCAGTTAGGGTAATGGCTATGTCGCTGAACTTCCATGTAGTCGACCACGATTCAAGACCTGGAGCCAGTGGCTTAAGTTCATGCCAGGTGAATGTGCGAGTGCCCAAGATCCTGAGAGGAGAATGGAAGAGAAGGGATTGTGGCGTGGCCATCCCCCCGGAGGGTGATTTCTCGCTTTCTGTCTCTCTGTCTCTCTCTGTCTTTATGGCAAGCACACGTGCCCTATAGCAAAAACCTCTCCTGCTGGGGCTATATGGGTATTTCATTGTGGTTTTACCACAAGGGCTGTTGAGGACCACATGAGTTAATATGTATCTAAGATTAGAAGACACCCTCCACCCATGTACATAATAAATATTCAACATGTATTTGCTTACACCAGGACAGCAGATGTTTTACATCAAAAGCCAGAAACTAAATATTTTAGGCTTCAAAAGTCTTAAGAGTCTTGGGACCAGCAGTTAGGGTAATGGCTATGTCGCTGAACTTCCATGTAGTCGACCACGATTCAAGACCTGGAGCCAGTGGCTTAAGTTCATGCCAGGTGAATGTGCGAGTGCCCAAGATCCTGAGAGGAGAATGGAAGAGAAGGGATTGTGGCGTGGCCATCCCCCCGGAGGGTGATTTCTCGCTTTCTGTCTCTCTGTCTCTCTCTGTCTTTATGGCAAGCACACGTGCCCTATAGCAAAAACCTCTCCAAAAAAAAAAAAGTCTTAGAGTCTCTGTAGCAACAACCCAAGTCTACTACTGTAGTAGGTCGGAAGCCATAGAAAATACATAAACACGGGACTAGCAGTTAGCGTAATGGCTATGTTGCTGAACTCCCACATAGTCCACCGCAGTTCGTGTCCCAGACCCGGTGGCTTAAACTCACGCCGGGCGCATGTGCATGCATGCCCAAGATCCCGAGAGGAGAATGGAGGAGAAGGGATTGCGGCATGGCCATCCCCCCTGGGGGGTGATTTCTTGCTTTCTGTCTCTCTGTCTGTCTGGCGAGCGCATGTGCCCTATAGCAAAAACCTCTCAAAAAAAAAGAAAAATAAATAAATAAACAAATAAACATGATTGTGTTGTAATAAAACTATTTATAAAAAACAGTGGGTCTGATTTAGCCCAGAGGCTATCATTCCTTGAGCCCAGGCTTAGATAATGATGGCAAAGGTAATAATGATAAGGAAGAAGAGCAGAGACTGTGTCATCCAAACTTTTCATTGGAGAAAAAAAAAATCAAGAAAGTAACAGATCCTTCTATTCCAGCTAAATTCACAAAGTCAGCTCTGACATTTCTCTATAGCTGGTACTTTCTGTTTCCAGACTGTCAAATTTATCACTCTCTTTCCCCATCTCCACTGCCACTAGCCCTGGGCCTGGCTTACTGTGATAAACTAGCGTTATCTGGGTTATTGTGACGATTTATTTTTAAAGCGAGATTTTCACTATAGGGCGTGTGTGCTCACTGAAGAAACAGAGAGCCAGAGAGACAGAAAGCAAGAAATCACACACACACCCCCAGAGGGGATGACTGTACTGCAACCCCTTCTCCTCCACTCTCCTCTAGGGATTTTGGGGACCCACACATACGCACCTGGCATGAGTTTTAAGCCACCAGGTCCAGGACTCAAACTCCGTTCACCTACGTGGGAGTCTAGCAATGTAACCATTACACCATCTACTGGTCCCTGTGACAAGTCTTAATCTCCTGTTTTAGAAAATAGAGATTGGGAACCAGCAGTTAGCGTAACGGCTACGTCACCGGACTCCCACGTAGTCGACCGTGGTTCACGTCCCAGACCCAGTGGCTTAAAACTCACGCCAGGCGCGTGTGCATGCGTGCCCAAGATCCCGAGAGGAGAATGGAGGAGAAGGGATTGCGGCGTGGCCATCCCCCCTGGGGGGTGATTTCTTGCTTTCTGTCTCTCTGTCTGGCGAGCGCATGCACCCTATAGTGAAAAACCTCTCAAAAAAAAGAAAATAGAGATTGTCATCATACTTACTTTCTATAGTGATCTAAGAATTAAAGGAGCTAACACAAGTAATGGCGTCGTTTAGCTCTTGGCCCGTGCTAAGCACGCAATCGTGTTAGCTGTCATTCTTTCACTACCGATCATGAATGAGTGGTGAGTTGCCATTTCTCCCCGTCCCTCCTAGCCTTTCCCCTGCTTCATTTTTCTCCACTGACCGGACCACCATTTGCCATTCCGTACATTTTCCTTGTTTGTTGATTGTCTGTGTGCCCCTAGACCATCCACTCCACGAGGGCAGAGATTGCCAGTTCTGTTCACTGCTGCTTCCTGAGGTCTGGCATGGCGCCTGGTACGTAGCAGGCACTCAGTACGAGTACCCAGCTCCTCACCTCTTCTGTCTCCCTCCGCTCCCCAGGATTACCTCACAGACCTCATCACCAACGACAGCGTGAGCTTCTTCCGCACGTCCAAGAAGATGTACCCGCACAGGCCGGTCCTAATGGTCATCAGCCATGCGGCCCCGCACGGCCCCGAGGACTCAGCCCCTCAGTACTCACGCCTCTTCCCCAACGCATCTCAGCACATGTAAGTTTGCACCCTGCCTGGCAGAGCCGCTAGTTAGCACAAAGCGGGGAGGGTCAGGTGTTAGTGATGGGATGAAACAGCAGTGACATGGCTGTGCCTTCTCTCCAGTCCCCTGGTCTAAAGAGCCCCAAAACACTGCTCATGAAATTGGGATACAAGCCCAGCCATCCTGGGTTGCAGAACAAAGCAAGAGACATGAGCCTTCAACTAGCAAGCCATGGCCTCCCACCAAGAAGCCTGTGGATGAAGCCACACGTACCTAATAGGTTGCCTTTGTAATCCTCTATTTTACCTCAGACAGTTAAACACATGTCTGAGAAGGGGGCCACAGCTTCACCAACATAGGCTGAGGTGCTAGCGGTGTGGCAGACTCACTGCTGACCCCTCCACTCTGCACCACATCCCGAATTCTCTGTGTATCAGTTAGCTATTGCCGTGTAACACCTCGCCCCCAGCTGAGCAGCTGAAAACAAACCGTGAGTTATCACAGTGGCTGGGAGTCAGGAGTCTGGGAGGGGGTCATCTGAGGTTCTGACTCAGCATCCCACAAGGATGAGGTCACAATCGAGGTGTCAGCTGGGCTGCTGAGGCATGGTGGGGGCTCACTCACATGGCAGGTCTTTCTATGTGGTCCCCCCATAGGGCTGCTCACATCATGGTACTGGCTCTCTCCAGAGCAAATGATCTGGATGGGCATGGGGTGGGGAGTGGGCAAGACAGAAGCCATAGTCGTTCGTGACCTCATCTTGAAAGTGGCACCCTGTCACTCCTTCATGTTCTATTGGTCACACAGACCAGTCCTTTTACCATGTGGGAAGAGACCACAGAGGGGTGGGGATCAGTGAGGACCGTATTAAATACCGCCTGTCACACTGTGTACCCCTGTGTTATAATGAAGAGACTGAGACACAGAGGTGAGGTGACTTACCTGAGGCCACCCAAGCTGCTAAATGGCAGGGCCAGGATTCAAATCCAGCCCCCACTCCATCCAGCTGGCTAGTAAATCTTTCTGGAAAGTTCTGCTTTTCTCTGACTCTAACCACCTTCAGCTTAGCAGTGACATTTAAGCTGCCCTTGCTGTGACATGCTGGGGCGACAAGGACAGGGCAATTTGGAATCTGCCTGAATATTCAGGGTGTTTAATTTTCATTACAATCAGAATACATTGCCCTCCTCGAACCCCTGGCGGTAATTACTTTATGACAGTGCCTGCCTGGAGTGGCTCCGGAGGATAACGGCAGTGTGTTAACCTTCTGATCCCTGGTCTGCAGGGAGGAGGGTCTGACAGGGACCTGGCCTTGCCTCTCTGGGCAGGACTGCCGGCTCTTCCACACCACTCCCTCCTTCCCAGGGGCCGGCCTCCCCCTGCCTCCCCCAGCGCTCCCCACCCCTCCCATCCTCACAGACAGCTCAGTCCATCTGAGGGGGCAGGTACTCTCGGCTTCACCCCAGCAGCCTGCAGAGTCGTGATGAAATTGTTTGACATTGCCTGCTCATTTATTTTCCCTTCGAAATGAAAATTACAGAAATTGAAAATGAGCAACGCCTGCTCTTACTTACCCAGAGAATCCCCCTTCGCCTTATTAGGGGCGTGTTTGGAAGGCTCTCTTATCTCTGGGGTATAATCATTCCCAAAACAAAACTAGAAAAATGAAAGTTCTGCAGCTGGGACGGTTCATCACGGCCGTCTGACAGTCCAGGCCGTGCGTGCTGTCGGAGTCGCCTGTCAGGGCCTCACCCTGGCAAGTCTGCCAGTGTCCGTGCTGGGGACAGGCCTTGTGGATTCTGGCAATGCTGCTACGGTCCCCTGCCTACTCCACCAGCCCTTCATCACGGCCGTCTGACAGTCCAGGCCGTGCGTGCTGTCGGAGTCGCCTGTCAGGGCCTCACCCTGGCAAGTCTGCCAGTGTCCGTGCTGGGGACAGGCCTTGTGGATTCTGGCAATGCTGCTACGGCCCCCTCCCTCCCCCCCCAGCCCCGACTCCACTCCCCTCCCCGCTCCCCACCCCCACGCAGACAGACACCACGCACATACAGACATACACGCAAAGGCACATACACATACAGATATAAGTGCACACAAACACACGTCAGTAAGAAATACAGACATGCATAGGGTTACAAAGACACAGTCACCTACAGACGGACACAGAGACCTGCACATGCTGCCGTGCACACATGGACTTGCACACAGACCCATACAGCCCCACCAGCCCTCGGAGCTTCCTTTCGAAGGGCGGCACCCCTGTGGGCACAGGGGCCTCTCCTCTTCCAGCCCATGGAACCCCCAGCCAGCGTAGACAATCTTGGGTGGGGTGTGCAGGGCTGTGGCGCCCTGGTCATGAGGGCGAGCCCTCCTCTGTGTTCTCCCTAAAGAAGGCAAGGTCTTCCTCTAGGCCCTTTGGTACCACACGACACCCCTGGGTGCTGGGAGAGGCAAGAGCCACTTCATCTCTAACCAGTTTCCTTTTTCTAAAACCAAAATCAATTGCAAAAGGACATTCTGTGGTCCTCCTGCCTTCAGCACGTGCCTGTCACCTGCTGCGTACAGAGGTCACTGGAGAACAAATATGACATGCCCGAAGCTGTGCTGCTCGGTTAGAGGGCCCAGGCCTGCGCAGGGAGCTGTGAGCTGCCCCCCTTCTTGAAAGGAGAGGTGTGCCCCCTTCTGTGAAAGGGGAGATGCACGGACTCCAGAGGTGTTAAAGACACCACGCTGAGACTGGTGGGAGGGGGCTAGAAAGGCCGTGTTGCTCACCTGGAGGGTCAAGGTCATTTAACGCTGTACCTGCCACGGGCTGTGCACGTGCACCCCTCACCTGGGAGAAACGCTGAAGTGCTTTCCAGCCCAGCAGTCAGTGTCCACCAGTTCCCCCAAACAGAGCAACTGGTGGGGGGCTGCTCGGTGGGGCACAGCACCCAGGCACCCCAGCCTGACGCCCGTGTGTCTCCCACCAGCACGCCCAGCTACAACTACGCGCCCAACCCTGACAAGCACTGGATCATGCGCTACACGGGGCCCATGAAGCCCATCCACATGGAGTTCACCAACATGCTGCAGCGGCGGCGCCTGCAGACCCTCATGTCCGTGGACGACTCCATGGAGACGGTAGGCACCCTCCTGCTGCACCCAGCCCCAGGCGTGGCTCCCGAACCCCGGCCCCCCCGCCGGCTCGCGCGCC